ATTCCCGACCTGATCGTGCTTCAAACCTAAATCCTACGCACCACTGCGTCCATGTTGGGTGAAATTTTACATTTTTAACCTATGTTGGGGTGTTACCTGTGCACATACTACATGCGTATATGTATATACATATATATCTTATATATATATATTATATATATGGTACATACATATATATATATATATATATATATATATATTTATATTTATTTATTTATGACTTGCGCCGCGCCTGACAGCTGACATGTGACACAGTCCATGGGACAGCGGGAGAGCGAGAGAGAGAGAGAGAGAGATTGAACACGAGTTGACTTTCATGAGCCTTCGCAAGAATGACACATGCTAATCGAGAAGTGTGCGGTGGACATCGTCTTGCTCAGCTGGGTGCCCCAGAGTGAAGCTTTTGGGGTTTTTAGGATTAGGGCTTAAATCGGGTTTTTAGGTTTGGGGTATCGCCCTTCGTGGCGTTAGGTAGGGGTCGCACCCTTCGCGGCGTTAGGGTAGGGGTCTCGCCCTTCGTGGCGTTAGGGTCGGGGTCTCGCCCTTCGCGGCGTTAGGTAGGGTTCTCGCCCTTCGTGGCGTTAGGTTGGGTTCTCGCCCTTCGTGGCGTTAGGTTGGGGGTCTCGCCCTTCGTGGCGTTAGGGTAGGGGTCTCGCCCTTCGCGGTGTTAGGGTAGGAAATAGGGTGATAGGGTAGTAGGGGTCTTGCCCTTCGTGTAAGGTATAGGGATTAGGGTTTAGGGTAGGGGTGTCGCCCTTCGTGGCGTTAAGGTTGTCGCCCTTCGCGGTGTTAGGGTAGTGATTGGGCTGTTAGGATAGGGGTCTAGGGTTTGCGGTTGGGTTTCGGTTGGGGCTTTGTGCGTTACCAGGTTAGGGTTAGGTTCGCTGCGAACGGTTCGCTTGATTGGGGGCGTCGGCATTTCTGGTGTTGAGGAGTGCTCGCTGGCACACAATCCAAGCCCATGCTGAAAGCGGATCCCGGTACCTAAGCCGTAAGCCCTACATCTCTGAACCCTCGGCCAGATTGTCCCAAGAGTGAGTGCTTGCCTGGCATGTCCGAGTTGCGAGATTTCATAAACACATCCTGGCACCACAAGACCCCTAACTTAAGTAACGCCACGAGGCCGGACTTGGAAAGCTCATGGCGGCCGCGTCTTGCAGAGGACCGATTGTCGTAGCACCCGGGAGTTCGGATTGTTCAACAGCCAATAGGAAACGTGTGCAAGTAAATTGATTGCCGGCTGAAGCTGAGTTGGTGCCTCGTTGCAGTCATGTTCGGCCCGAGCTGCTGGGTTCGTGGTAGGGGTCAACAAACGATTCAGGGTGTTGAGGGTGGTCTGGGATTCTAGGGTCAGTCAGGGGTCACTATGCAATTCAGGGTGTTCAGGGTGCCCAGTGGTCTAGGGTAAGGGTCCAGTCACTCTTCCTCAACCACAAAATCGAAATCCGAACACCCCAAATAAAATACACAATCCAGGTCGACCTTAACAAACTCTACTCATCTGCCCGTATGTCCCGAGCCCTCAACGTCAAAAACACTTCTCCCCGACTTAGGGCTCACATGTGATTTGTTTCACGGTCGTTGCTGCAATGGCATATCAGCACTGGCGCGACTTGTATTTTTCTGGCCGCCGCGGCGGCTGGAATAGGCATGCCAAGGCGAAGGCCCGGGGCCTCCAATTGTCGTTGCTTGCTTTAGGGGTTTAGGGGTATTCAGGCGATTGCACAAGCCCTGATGCAAAAAAGGGATAATCAATGGTTTACGGTTAATTAAACTGGCCGAGCAGGCACCTGCGCCGGTGTTCCCGAAGCCGAGAGCCGCTTGAAACCATCGATGCAGATGCTTTCTTTTGCGAGGGGATTAAATAAGCAAAACCCTAATCCCTGAACCCTCAACCCTTAATTGACCCTAAACCCTAAACCCGATTCCAAGGGCATAGTCATCCTTCCTCGGCCGCCGGCGCCTATGGATGGCCCGATGATGCCGGAGCAGGTAGCACCCCAAACCCTAGATTAAAAAGACCCTAAGTTATATCATACAATGTCTTGATTCGAGCAGTATTATTTTGTGCAACAATACTGTAGAAAAAAATGCTTGTATCGAATCCACGAACCTATCGCCTCCGGGGTCATACCACGACTGATTGAATCAAGAACGTCTCTAGTTAGTGGAGGGCACACATAGACACGTTTAATTTGGTTGCACCAAGTTAGCTTGAAACCTTTACCTTCAACCCTAAACTTCCCCTGCTGCTGGCCAGGTGGAGCCTGAGCCGGCAGTGGAGCCGGCTGTGGAGCCGGCTGTGGAGCCGGTGGCTGCGGAGCCGGTGGCTGCGGTGGCTGCGGAGCCGGTGGCTGCGGAGGCTGCGGAGCCGGTGGCTGCGGAGCCGGTGGCTGTGGAGCCGGTGGTGGAGGCTGAAGTCTCCGAGGAGGAGATTCTGGGGGCCGAGATTCCGGCCGTGGCTGCTGCAGAGGCTCCGATTCCGGAGGCAGCTGAGACTTGGACTCATTTTCGGTATTCCTTTCCTCCTGGTGGTTCATTTTAGCTTTTTGTGGCAGCAGCTGCTCCAACCTTTATGGGTGCTGAGGGCGGCATCATGCGCGGCTTTCAGCAGCGGATGGCTGAAGTCGTAAGGGTGCATGCTCTGGCCAGAGGTTGGAAGTGTCATCAGCTGTCAGATGGCTCCGAGTACTTCGTCCACGAGGTGGGCCGTGCAACATGCTGGAGGCGCCCTGAGCAGCTGCATCAGCTTCCTGATCGATCTCTGGCTCCAATTGACGGCGAGGACGCTTTGGCTCCGGACTGGGTTCTCTGGGAGAAGTATTTGTCCTCTGGAGATTTTGCTGACCGTTACTTCTGGTGGAATACGGCAGAGGGCACGACTGCTCCATTCAGTACTTTCGAGCCTTGGCTATTCTATGCATTGTCTTTCTTGGGTTGTTAGATACTTGTTATATAGTCATTAACAAACCATCCGAATAATTTAATACCTCCTTGCACCCTCAGGAAGCTGAGTTTACAGCGAGGGCCGAGCAGATCAGGGAGGAGCGGCGGCGGCAGGCACTTGAGCCAGCCGCGCCGGCCGTGCCAGAAGTGAGGGCCGCGAAGAGGCGCCGGAGGTAAATTAAATATGGAAAAATAATAGTCGAGCAGGTGTTTCCTCCGGCGTGGTTTCGCTTGAGCTGGCGCCGGCTGCTGAAAAAGACAGTGTTAACTGGTTGCCTTCGATGTATGCCGTCGTTGTGCCCCGACTGACTGATTCGCCCGCTGCTGCCTGCGAGGACTCTTGCTTCGATTACCTGGTTCCGGTGATGTCCTCAGCTTCTACTTGGTATTCCATGCATTTACTTCGGCACTTCGGCGGGGCATGCAAGGATTCGCTTTGGTATGCATCCTCATGTCAGTCTCATCATTCGGACGAATTTCGTTTTCCCGAGGTCGGGCCGAGTCGCGCCATCAACTTGTACTACATGCCGGGACCTTGAAATGTCCAGCTTAAGACTTGGAATAGGAGGTTCATATGGTGATTAGGTTCATATGGTGATTCTGCAACAGACTGGCTTCACATATTTCTGTTTGAGCAGAGTAACCCATGTTTATCTCGCCCAGGCCCGGTGCATTCGACGGCTCGGAATCCCAGCTCTCGCTTTGCTGGGTTTGGGGTTGCAATTTGCAGGGATTCGGAGGTTTTGATGTGAAACTTCGTTATACCTAAGCTTTCCCGACTCTGACTGTTGAGTGAATCCTGTACGATCTCAGCAGTTCCTCGGGTTCTTTATTCGGGGTTCAGGTCTGGTTTCAAATTCTGGTGTGAAATAGTTACTACAACCTTCGTTTCAGTATTCCTTGGGAGGTTCGACTTAGGATTCCAGTGCGTGTCGCACCAGCAGTCGTGGCGAAGTTGTGATATTGCTCTGTGCACATTCCCACTTCAGGAGGTTCAGAACATAGTTAACATGTTGAGAGGTTTGTCATTCTCGCTATCCCCATAGCCCAAGGCAGCCATAGCATTCTGGTAAGATCGCGACCCGAATTTATGTGTTGCCTATATCCGAAATGAAGCTTCAAGCTCCGCAGTGGTCTGTGCCCCCAACCAACATGTGACCTGTAGTTCTTCTGTATCGGTATAAGCGACCCAGCGGCAGCCGTTATTTGGAGTGATGTGAGAGGTCAGTAGTTCACACGCTGTGGACTTGCAATGCATACTGACCTAAGTGCTCATTCAAAGTGCTGCGATGCGATTTTGTGTGCACATTGCCCATTCGAGCTGAGTTAAACGGTTCAATGTGTCAGAACAGGGTAGACTTCAATCGATCTTCATTCGTAGTTGATTTCGAGTGGTATCCTCACTTTGTCGGATAGGGATGATAATAGGGCAGCCCAGGGCAGTATGAAGAGCCGAAGATGACAAGTCAAATCGTGATTCATACTCAAGTGTTGGCCACTGATGGATGCTCCGCACTCGACCACCACAGCTGACTGCGAGAGGCATCTGCGTCTTTGCGATAAGACATATCATGATTGCAACCGATGCTTTTTTGCAGCAGGCCCGCTCTAGCGTCAAATTCAGATAATATGTGAAATCTTTATGAAATAATTACATGGGCTAGAAGCTACTTAGTTGTTCAACGGCTCTTTGTATATTGGCCCCAGGATATCTGGGCAGGCTTCGCAGGAAGTGTCGGCATTTGTGTCAGCCGGACGATGCCTGTGCGTGGGCCAAGAAGTGCACTTTCACACATGCTGGGACGGGACAGAACCTTTGCTACCTTGTTTGCCGTGGCTGGGATTCAGATGAAAACTTCGCTGTTGGATGCCATTGCTGCAAGCAATTGAACGTCAAGTCGGTATTCGGAAGAATAGAGGTTTCTAACCGGGCGGCCCTACAGATCTGCAACTTGCGAAACCATGCAAACCACCAGTGCCACACGAATTCAGTGGCAGCTCTAGCCAAGTTGGCGGTACCAGGTGCCAGGGAGGACGATCATGCTGAAGAACCGATGCCTGTTGCAGGTGCAATCAGTGGCCTGACTGACAAAGTCCCCCGCTTGGACAGGTGGGTTCAAGCTTTGGAGCTGGTCCGGACGTATGGGTCTTTTGCACAATTTGAGGGTCAGGTGGCAGCTGGCTCTGTGGGATCTGCTCTTGCACCGGGCGGCGATTCAAGCAGCCCAGTTGCCCGTCAGCTGATTCGGGCTATGGCCGAAGTGCTTCGACAAATCGACCGTCGGATGCTGTCCCGGGTTGTCCAAAGCAGCATATCAATCGACAAGACAGCTGACATGATGCTCCTGTACGTTCGTCTTTTGGTGCCCGAGGGCATCTATGACTTCTTGGGATCTGTTCGAGGGGACACCTTATCAGACGTCGAGGCGATAGGCTCAGCTCTGGAGGCTGCCCTTCAGCAGATGTGTACCTCGGCAACTGGCGAATTCGACCAGGACGCTCAATTTCATAAGTAGAGGTAGCGGTTTCGCTTCTGGCCCCTCTCACTCGATAGCGTGATTCTTCGGCTTCTTGTGGGTCGCTTTGTTTGTTTCGTGCGGTGTCGTGGGCAGGAGCTGCACAGAAAATTCTTGGATTCGGTGACAAGCGCTGTTGCTGACGGGGGGCCGACAGAACAACGAGTCCTCTACAACGTCAGCCCGGCCCGACCTGGTGGGTTTTCAAACGGGGAGGAGCCTTTGTTCAAGAACCTGGCCCTGATAGCGAGAGACAGGCCGCACCGATTCAGGTCGGTGCAGAAAGGGTTTTGGTCTCACGTCGGATTGGAGATCAAGGAGTTCCTTGACGCCTTGGTGGTGGGCCCTAGATCGCTGGCACGGTTGATGGAGACAAGCAGGAAATTTAGCCTTCTGTTTGAGGCGAAGCAACGTGAATCCAAGGCGCGGAATGTTCACGACGCTCCTGCGTTTGCTGGTGTCTTGCGCAATCTGCAGTTTTCAGAGTCGCGATTCAGTTCGCGAACCAAGCCTCTCTTCCGCTTGTTCAGATTATTGCCAGAGGTGATCCAGACATTGGCAGAAATATCATCCTGGAAGGCCCAGGCTGAAAAGGACGAGGCCGACTGGGCCACGGCTCTTCTCGAGAAGTGGGGGGGGGACAAGGGGTATGAGGCCCTAGTCTCCGCAGCAGTCGTGGCAGACTCGCTCATCGCATCGCAGCCAGCACTGCGAGTAGAAGACGAGGCATCGGCCGACTACGCACTTAGCGGCCCGGCCGCCGCAGAGCTGAAGATGTCCCTGGAGGCACTGCTTCTTCATGGGGGTATCTTTTTGCCAGAAGCTGAGGGGTCTTTGACGCATCACTGCCTGCGTGCAATACAAAGCAAAACGATATTCGTCAAGTCCGGCACACCTGGTGCCAGTGCTGTATCTTTGCGATGGCCCGCACCAGGCTCGTCATCGCGCATGGCCCCAGTCGAGAAAGCCAAGCAGCAGCTTCACGACATTGGCCTAAGTTTTGATGGTTTTGTACTTGTATCTTGGTAGTCAAGTCTTTACTTTATGTGGTTTCTTTCGCAATCCCTTCAAGGATGTACGGGATCTACCTTGCATTCTTCAATGCGAATTTCCCCATGTACGAGGCGTGTGGGTTCGTGGATTCTTCTCTTTTGATCGTCAGTGTCTATTCCATTGATTAACTTTCCCAAGAAATGACTTCAATCAAATTAGAGTGTTTCCCAGTAGTAGGAGGCAACATCCTTCGCGTGTTTCAACTTGGATGCCGAGATGTCCACCTCGGATCGTTTTCGCTTCCTGCGGATGCTATGCCTCCGATTTGACTTGAGCATCGATGCATGCTGGCGTCAGTTTATTGGCAATGGCCACGACTCAGGCAAGCTCTCATTTCAAATTGTACTTTGATTTCAACCATATCTTACATGGGCAGTTTGTTCTAGTAGTTCGGCGGGGATTTGCTTGCAGGGCTTCTCCACAGAGCTCGATGGCACAGCTCAGCAGCTGGGGTGGCTTATGCAGCGTCCCAAGAATCCGAAACGACCGCAGCCTCAGCAGGAAACAGATTATTCTGTCACCCTCCAGAATCAAAGCATCAAAGAAGCTGGCTGAAGACGTGGCAAGAAGTTCGTGGAAACTCGCCTGGAAAGCAGCTGATAGCTCATTACCTCAGCGCCTTGTCCGGCACAGGCACGGTAGACAGGTGGTTGGGACAGTGCCGCCGACTTGACAAGTTCCGATCCCTGCCGGCGACAGAGATAGAGAATGCAGCCAAATTGTTGGTACAAGACGCCGGGGGAAGACGCCGAGTGCCGTTGGATCCGCGGGCTGTTCTGATAAAGGCAGCGCCTGCTGCGACGGCAGGCGGTGGATCTGTCTGCCACCCAATTTCGGCATTCGGCCTCAAGGCTCAAAAGGTCTACGCTTCGTTGTACGGGGAACGGCGGTTGCCTTCGAGGGATCTACTTCCGCATACCCCCGGCGAGATTGCACGGCAACGACTCCTGGCAGAACGCCCCAGGCTTTCTGCAGGCAGAAAGAAGTCTGGCAATAGTGAAGCAGACCTGCTCAACGAGCACCGCAAGATAGTCGGCGCTTGTGTGGAACGAGTGCAGAAGGGAAATGCCGAAGCGGATGAGGCCGCGGGCCCTTTGGGTGAAATCCCTCTACCTGCTCCGAAAAGACAGAGGCTGATGGCGGAAGCTTCTTCGGCAGTGAACAACATGTATTCTGCCATAGTAACTGGCATGACAGATGCTCAGGAGCTCTCGCAATCTCTTGGCCTCGACCAGGGTCAAGTCGTCGCGGATTCAGCCGAGACTGAGAAGGCCATCAGGCTCCAACGGAAGATCGCTGACTGTAAAGCAGACGCGTTCCTGAAAAGTTCTCGGAGGGTACCTGTGGCATACGTGGATGCGAAGGCTGGGCTGATGAGGCCTGCGGTGGCTGATTCAGAAATGGTGGGCCCTGCTCCCGAGCTTCCTGCCAGGCCACGTGTCATGGTCGACACCTCAGTCACTGGTCTGGTCCTGGATCAGGCTGCCTTTTCCGTGAGACGGTCGGTTGATTTCAGCAAAGACGCACATGTTATAGTTGTGGCCGACTTCCACCAGTGCTTCTATGATCCAGTTGCCCTGTATGCCCGGTTGCGCGGAAGAACCCTGGTGGAACCGGGGTGGTTTTCTGGACGTGGCCAAGGGCTGGCATTCCGCAGCTTCATGCAAGCCAGACATGTTATATTGTATATACACGAGAGCTTCCAATCGGCCCATCCGACTTACGTGGATTGCTTGCACAAATGCTCCCGGGACAGCCCGGCTCTGAAAAGTGGCAAGCCTCATTTTGAATTGCAGATCGGTTCTAAGCCAGAAGTTGTTCGCACACCCACTCTGACATATGAGCTGGTGGACGACAAAAGCAAATCAAAGGAAGCCAAAGTGGCTGCCAAGCAGTGGACGCTCCAAGAGCTTCTCCATCAGTGCACCTTAGTGTGGGACCAGCCTAGCTCATCAAGTAGCTCTGGACAGTAGTCGGATATAGTTCCGATAGTTTCACATGTGGACCGGGGTTTGCGAGCAGGCTTTCGTCGCCTGGTCGTGGGGAATCATGCTGATCTGTTTGACAGATCGACGCGAGACAGGTGGATTCAGGCAGTCCAAATAACCGCCGACATAGAGTGCATTAGGTGCCCATTCCTGTAAGAACCATGGACATGGAAATGGATCATCTTGAAGTTGAAATCCTTGCATCATCGCTTGCATCCTGCACCGGATCCTGACGAATCAGACTTGATTGCTGCAATCTCAGTGTGAGTCAAGGGTCCCAACGTTCTCAATGGTTTAGTTTAAGGCAGGGGTTTCGGAACAATCCTGAGAGGGGCATGATTCAAAGGCGGACCTGCTCTTCCATGCACCATGGCCCATCCTGGGTCCCACACATAATCCCAAGCCTCGAGGCTTTGCATCCTGGCCCTGGGTCGATAAGTGATCTTCCCTAGACGTAGCCCGGGGTCCGAAGCATTAGACCGAAGTTCTTCAAGTTCCAAGTGACAGCCTTCTCTTGTCCCAATAATCAACTGCTTATGACCTGAGGTCGGACGGTCACTTCAGCTTCGGGATCGCCGGAGAACTCTGGAGGCACGCCCCTCATTCAGTGCCACGACCAGCAATGCCCACTGATGTTGTCTTCGTATGTCTTCGTGCATTCCTCGACCAGCAGTGCCCACTGAAGCTGTCTTTGTGCATTCCTCAGCATTTTGCTGCTCTGCTGGGATTTTCGACTCATTACGCCATTCACGCACTTCGCTTGCCAACTTGTTGTCAAGCTCCGGGAATCCAATGGCGATAAGAGTTCATACTGCAGACATGAACTTGCGAATGCTGCCCTGATGTCGGTAATACGGTAAGTCATGCCATGGATATGCCGTGTTGCTGGATGTCGAAACAGGACATACCGACGAGACAGGTGCTGTGACATTCATCGGGAAAGCAACCGGGGCAAGCACCATCGCAAGCTCCCCCGGACGAGATTGTGTGCGAAGACTCCGGTGGCCAACATACCCTGGCATAAAGCCTTCTCGGGCAAGAGCTCCAAGGAGAAACAAGAGATCCAAGCGAGTCCCGATGTGTTCCAGGAGTATGAGAACCTTCTGGTGGCAGAGTTCGGCAGCATGCGTGGATTGTGTAAGATGGCAGATCTACACAGTATTTTCACTCGCTGCCACAGTCTCTTGCAAGGGCTGAAGGAGGCATCCTCACGAGCCAACCCTGCGATCATGCTCCCAAAGGTCTGTGCAGCAAGTGTGGTGGCACTGCTCTTCTGGGGCATCTCTACATCCAGTCGCTTTCTGGATGACGAAGATACAGATCGATTCAAGGGCATGTTGGCACGGCGACGAAAGTTACACGTCAGAGATGTGGCTTCCTTTCAGTGTCACTGGCTCATGGCTACAAATGTCATTGCACAGGGGGAGGGGGGCCTTTTGTCCGAATGAAGCCTATGCAGCCTTTTCGAAAATACAGGTCCCCTTGCTTTGCATTGCCTCGTTGTCATTACATTCATTACAAGCTGAAACAGATTTGGCCGTTGTAACTCTGGTCAGGTGACCCGATCTTGACGGTGGCGCGGGGCCTGGTTGTTCTTCGCATGCCAGCAGACACAAGCCTGTTGAAGTTGGACTCGGAAGTGTTAGCTTGACATAGAGACTGAGTTCCGAGTCCAGGTTGCGACCTGGACTCGGAAATGTTTGTTGTGGGTCCCCGTTGGGAGTACGGTTTAAAATGTTTCTTACGAGTCCAGCTTTTCCTTCCAGCAACGGGGTTCGAGACCCAATCGTTCCGAGTCCAGGTTGCAACCTGGACTCGGAACTCAGTCCCGAAACTTGCAGCCGAGTTCCGAGTCCAGGGCAGTACTAGAAGCTCGCTATATTTAAAAAGGGTGCTTATGATCTACGAAGCCGCGCGGGGTGAGAATTAGACAAGGGCAAAGGTGTGCTAGTGTGCCCAATGGCCCGGAAATTCCACATGCTTCAGCCTTTATCTAGCTGTTCCTGCTTCTTCTAGTGATTCTAGTGTCGTGTACCCTTGTATTCTGGCATCTTGCAGCCTCGGTCTTGCTCCCGCGAGATACAGAATTATAGCCGAATTTGAATCAACCCTGAACCCGAACGGCTGAAACCCTGGCCAATGACTACTGTCGTTTCAAAGATTGAATTGAACGTCCGAGTTTGCCCAGGCTGAGCTGCTCTCCACATGGCCGTGCCGGGTCCCTTAGAGTGTTCCGAGAGGAGTTACAGTTGTCGTTGACGGTAGGGCCTAGCATTGGTGTCGCCTCCTCGTCTCAGTGTCACGACTTGATCCACAGAGAGGGGCAGCAACGTTAGGAGGAATGCCAATCATCCTTGATGTAGGTTTGTATTCGGGGCAGAGGATACTTTTCAGTCCGTTTCGGAAAGAAAATAAAAGGAAGTTCGCTTCTTCGAAGTATCCTAAAGTTTTTGTTTTGCCGCATTCGAGTACACTGTCTGAGTCTCGGCTCTAGATATCATAGCTTCCCCTAATGGATCTCTTTCTGTAGGGGAACTCATGAGGTAAAGATAAGACAAGAACGTCAGGGCACCTCTGCACCTTGTCCACACGAGGAGAGAACATAATCATAATTTTGCAGGCCCAAGTCTATTACAGGATTCCGAGTGCAGAAACTGTGAGAATATCTAATTTTTCACGTTGAGTTGACCACTGACAGGCGCGATATTCTGTATCATTTCATTAAACAAGTGAAAGTGAAACGAAGCCCTAGGATCCGATACTGCGTACCCCTGACTGTAGCATTTTCCGAGGTGGCAGGCTGTCTGGCGAAGATGCACGAGGCAGATGCACCGGCCGGGCAGACACGAGTACATACACAGATCCAAGATGTATCAAAGAAGTTGTTGTTGGTCAAGACAGTCGACATGTCTACATTCTACATGTCTGCTTTTGCGTCATAGAGCAGCCAACTTCTGCATGGAGACAGCGACTTCAGACAGAAGTCTCAGCAGTTAAGCTATCATTACCTGAGTGGCCAACGGAAGGATTTTGGCCCTGGCAGTGTGCCCAGACTGACTTTTTTTGGTGTTGCACCTCATCCATGGCTCCGAAAGTCCGCAAATCTGCCCTAAAGAAACCCGCTGCGGCTCCTGGTAGCACAACCAGAAGCGTGAAGGCTCCTGACTATGAAGTGGTGAGCACACCCTTCGTGCTCTCGGAGTTTGTGGAGGTGTTGGCTGGTGTTCTTAAGGTCAAGCCGGTTAGTAACAAGAAATTCATCCTGGTGACCGGGTGCTCGGGGCCGTCGCCTCAGAGTTGCGACTGCCGGCGCAGACAATGGAGTGCATAATTACATATGTGCCCCTGAACCTCCTCCCTAAATTGGATTCAGCTGAAGCAAGGTTAGGGGCAGCCCACCTGGTCTTGGAGAAGATGGTGCATGGCCAGGTAGTGGAAATCTCTGCCGCAGAGACAAATGGGGACGCCTGTCATGCGTTGCTCCGCAATTGCGGCAGCAATGCCCCGCTTCAGCTTCATCACGACATCCAGGATCAAGTCGAAGGGAAGTCCTTCGATCATATCACAGACTGCTTCACTCCTGTCTGCACCCCCGGAGAACCCGTGCACCTGTACTTCGCCGGCTGCCCACACAACTCTGGGTCGAGTGCCGATGAGGAGAGTGCCAAGTCGCATGCGGAGGCTCTTTGCAGCATGATTGCCGACTTCATGCCCCAGTGCTTCATCGTGGAGAACCTGGTGGACAGTAGGTTTTCCGAGATATTTCGCACTCGTGCCGTTGGCGAACAGTACGAGTGGTTCGCCTTGCCGATGAACTGTCACCCTTTGCGCCTCCACTGCACATTGTCTGATTTGTCTTCCTTTTGCTTCCGGTTTGTGTTGAAGCCGAAGTCCAAGGCCCACTCTGCGCTCACGGGTTTACACCATTGGGGCCAAGGTGGGTGTGAATCTGGGTCCGAACGGCTTCCAGGGCATGAAGCGGAATTTGTATGAATTGGTGGCCAAAATTGCTGCAATGCCCCTGCACCACTTCGAAGCTTTCCTCCAGGGAACGGAGGACCGTGTTCGGGAGCCCATGCGCCGATGGCTCGATGCAGAGGCTGAGGCTAAGTACACCAGTTGCTTCAAAGAAGCAATCGGCAGGGCTATGGACTGCAAGGCTATCCCCAAGGACTACAAGATGCTACTCAAGCATCCCGACAGCCGTGTATCTTCGCGGTGTCCCGACCTTGAGCCTTGGATCTCTGCCCAGATCGATGCGTTTCTTGGTTGCCTAGCTTCTGTCATTCTAGAGTCATTGCTGCACGACATGTGTGTGTGTGTGTTCAATGCTGCTGATACAAGTCGCTACGAGGTATGAGCTCGTCATTGCTTACTTGTTGAAGGGCTCGGAGATGACAGAGGAGCAAAAGGGCAAGCTGCACATCGTAGCCGATGTCGGCCAAACCTGTGGCCGAGGGAAAATCGCTCTGTTCGGAGACTTACCAGCTGTGGCCTCTTCCTCGCGGTGGTTTTCTTTTAAATTCCACAGGCGGGGTGATCTTGGGGTTGGGCTTCCAATCCGTAAAGTTGCCCCATTTCCTGAGCAGAGGTTCTTGAGCACTACTGAGATGGCTTCGTGTATGGGCTTCCCGAATCTGGATGTAAGTGGCCTCAGCACGAGCTCAGCGAAAGCTCTGCTGGCTCGCAGCATAGCAGCTACTACATTGGCCACAGTGCTACTGCCCGTTTTGGTTGGCTTGAAGTTCTACTCCTAAAGAAGGATCTGTTGGGAAAGCTTGCATGCTTTGTGCATTAGACAAGCAGACCTGAACCGTGAAGACTGGAGCAGGGCAAACCGAGCTGTGATTGTCTGCAGACATGCGGCCAGGTTTGGGGCCTGCAAGGGTTTCATTCTGCCAGTGACGCTGAGCTTGCTCATGCTGTCTCAGCAGCTTCATCGCCTGTAGGTTTGCTCAAGAGCCAAGTGGCAAGGTCAGGTGGGGCCTTTGAAAGGCCATTGATTGTTTGACGTCATGAGCAAGAGAGCCGGCTCCCAGCCGCCCACTCAGAGGCACAGCAAGAAGAAAGCTGCGTCCGTGCCAGTTCCTGCTGCAGAGGAGAATATGGCTTCGTCGCATCCGACCATGCTGGCACTGATGGACAAATGGACAGCAACCTCTTTCCAGGAGTGGCTGAAGCAGCAGCCCATGGAGCCGCAGGCCTTTGGAGGCCTGCAAGCCTTTGACGAGCAGGGCTTCGTTGAGGCTATGCACTCGGGAGGGGAGTACAACTGCACCGTCCACGCATCGTCCATCCTGCCGAGCACTTTGACTCACAGTCATTTGGTCCCGGGGATGTCTGCTGTCCAGCGGGTGATGGACAACTTGTGGTGCCGCGAGTCGGCTTCCTTTCATGGCGTCTCAGCTGTTTGTTAGCTCAATGTCCTTTCTTGAGACTTCTGCCCATCCATTGCATGATTTCCGAGAGTGAGCCTTGACTAAGGTTTGACATGGCAGGAGATAACGTACATCGGGGCCTGGTCCAAGGAGGAGGCTCCGGCTATGGGCAGCCTACAGCCTTTGAGTCAGGATGTACAACGGCTTGGCTTCTGGATGCGGTTACTTCAAGCCCATGAAGAAGGATGGGCCAGCGAGCTGGCTCTCGCGCTGCGCACAATGAAAGTGTGTTTCGTGTTCGTCGCCACGGCAGAAAAGCTCGAGTCCAAGAAATGGGAGCTCTCCGCGAAGCAGGACACACTTGCCGAGACAGCCATTCTGCGTGGATGGAAACGGGTCTTGGGGATTGTGCACTTAAAGTCGCAGATGGCCTCGTGGTCTAGAGATTCTTCGGACGAATCGGCTGCTTTGCCAATAACTATTGACGGTTACTGATGGGGGCTTGGGCTTACAAATAGTGTACACTCCTTGCATTGTCTGGGAAAGGTATCGCGGTGGCTTGCCAAGGAAAAGGTGATCGTGTCAAAGGAGCAGATTGGTGCCATGGTCTTGGTCAGAAGGCGTGTCGGTGAGGCAGACCTGGACAGCTTTATGACCGAGATGGAGGAGCAGCACGGAGTCGATCACCTTCTCTCGAAGTACGGTACGATCGAGAAACTGTGCCAATTGACCAACGTGAAAAGTGACGCGAAGCTCAGCAATGCGCTCCTTGCATATGCCATGCATGATATCCGCGAGCGCTTGAAGAACTTCGTTCTGAGCAACTCTGAGACGAAGCAGGGTGTGCTTGCAAGTGCAAAGGGATCCCTCCTATCACGCCGAATCCTGTTCTACCTCATCAGCAAACTCAGGCTAGCCAGGAGTGAGATCAAGGCCTGCCCGGAGGACCTTGGCCTTGCCACCAACCTCCGTTCGGCAGCAGGATTCTTTTCGAATTTTCTGTCCCACAAGGCTTACCACGACTCCGGCTTGACGACCCTCGCTTCGGACAAGACGTGGCTGTCCCAGCTGCTGCCCTACCAGAGGGATAGTTTGCAAAGTCTCCGATTGCTGCTGGAACCGAGCCCTGCAATGTGCAAGCTCCTGGAGGACACGGTTGAGAAGAACCAACACATCAGTGCTGAAGAAGTCCTGCAGCAGCCACGCTGGGATTCGGAACTCTCCTTGCAGAAGCTGCTCATTGCGAAGGAGAGCTGGCCTCAGAATGTAATCTCGCCCTGGCTCGCATGGAATGCCCTGCTTACTGCAGATACGGACTGTTTGTCTTTGCAGCTGTGCAGCTGAGGCAGGATCTGGATGCCCTGCATCCAGCTCCTGTGGTTGAAGCACCTCCCGTGCAGAAGCTGGCCGATGAGAAGAAGGTTGACGAAGAGGTGCGGTCTCATTGCTAGAATGCTGCTCTGCTGCCAAAGCGTAAGTAGCAGCATTGCAGGCCCAGGCGAAGGATGCAAACCAGTCGGCGGAGACCGCTGCAGAGATTGAGTCTGATGACAAGATGGTGTGCCACGAGCAAGACATCCAGGCAATGCCTTGCGAGATCGTGGAGGCTCAGAAAGCAGAGCTGACGGTCAGCGAGATCATGCAGGAGGTGATTCACGACTTGGTGTTGCCTACGTGGCTTCTGGACATCTTCAAGAAGGTGACACCAGAGGTGCTCAAGACGATGATCGAGTCTGCCACGTCCCGTCTTGGACTTATAAGCTTGGAGTGCTGTAGCTGGGAGTTTATCTGTCCCTATGTTTCCTCGGTGGGTCACTGATAGACCAGGTGCGGACGCCTGGGTGCACTTCGAGGTGATGGAGAATACTTCCCTGCCCAAGATGATCCAAAAGTACTTGGCTCAGGATGGGAGCAAGCTCATCATTATGGACGGGAAGCACCTCGGCCATGGCCGGCAGGGACACTCGCCTGGTGTACCGCTGCCGTTCATGCGTGCTGTGCTTGGCAGTGTCCTGGAAATTGCGGATGAGGAGGCGGTTCACTTCAAGGGGGACAACATCCTCCTAGTCACCGACGGCCGCAACAACAAGTGCGAGGCGCAGCTGAAGAAGGAACTCAAGCTGGGGACGAAGAAAGCACGCAACATCTGCAAACGAAAAGGCATTCTGCAGATCCGTTGCCTGTATCACCTCCGGGAGTTCTCAAGTTCAGGACATTTGGCGATCAAATCCAAGAAGGTGCTGCATGCACAGCTGGCGGAACCGCTAGAAAACTGGATGGTTTTGCGAGGGAAAACCTGTGCAATCCCTGCGATCCCTCGCAAGCACGTGGACATGGGCGAGTCGTCGTCGCGTTCAATCTCGAATCTGAGCCTCGGTATTCCCACGAGGGTTTCTGCGTCAATGTAAACTGACTTCATAGTTCTGTCAGATTCTCCTTAGCCAAGGAGCCTGAAGTCGAAAGAAGAGTGCGATCTGTGCCTGGTCATGCCGAATGTCATGGAGAGCATCTACTCCACATGCTGTCAAATCTTCGATTCAACTGGTGGCAAGCAAGCTGAAGAGAAAGAGGAGAAGGTCACATCCGACACAGATGAGGCCGCCAGCGGGGAGAGTGACAAGGAGATGGATCCTGTGCAAGACCCCGGCATGCCATGCTATTTGTTTCCGATGGGCAACAGCGAGGCTGCCTCCCGGGAGATGCTGAACCTGTTCGGTGGCAAGGACAAGCAGAAGCGCCAGTGCTTGGACATCTCGCCAGGCTCGGGCAGCCTGGCATGGGCTTGCGCAAGAGATGAGTACCGATACACGGGCCTCGTTGCTTCGGCTCAGCATGGCCGAGTGTTGCGGAGCAGTTTGATCGCACTGATTCTGAAGGAGATGGTGCTCGGCCGCAAGGATGGTGGCTTCTGCAACAGACGTTTTTTGTCCAAAAGTCGTTCCTTGGGATCAACGATCGACGAGGAGCAGCACCGGATGCCAAGCAATCAGCCCTTGGTCCAGCAAACTCTTTTCAATGTGATCAAAGAACAGGCGCCTGCAAGTGAAGCGCCCCAGCCGCTGAATTCCGGCGCCACACCGCCTCCGATTACCGATGTGAAGCCACGGCACAGTGGCAGCAAGGAAGATGACAGCTTCTCAGATTGAGTGCTCTTTGGGGCGGACTTGTCTGTTTCGCATTTTGCCTCGTGTTGCACCCGAGCAATACTCGTGGGTGTGACTGAGTGGCGGTGCAGACTGCCTGTGAAAGGACGCCAGCAGCGGTCAGATGGGAAGGAAATTCTTGCATGAGCATTCCACTGTACTGCTGTGCATCTTAGGTCTTCAGGACGTCGTCCGATTCATAGTTCAGTAGAATGCTGCTGTACGCGCAAGTCAATTGGAAACCCCCAGCCGGGAACCTTTGGACATACAGCATGCTAAATTTGTGGAGGCCGCAATCCGACTCTACCGCGACCGTCGCGAGCTTGGCCCCACACTCTCAGTGCAGATCATGCTGAAGATGCCACGGCTGAGCTGCATTACAACATTGGCATGAGGTTGTTCTGCCGATGTCGATAACCGATAATAGCATTTTGCTCAATTTTGACAACCTCTTTGAGTCCTGCCCTGTATCGCAATGGCAGCAAACTGGACGATTTCAGCGACATGTTTTTCAATGTCTCACAGGTCTAACATCCTGAACTCCTTGGTTCGCCCCTTGCATTCATCCTTTCCTGTGTTGAATAAGATATCTCATGATGATAAGGCCTGGGATGGAGACCGCCTCGTTGCGACTTACATCCCTTGTGGAGTCAATGTCGCAGCCATGCTGAAGAATGACTTGCCTGGCAGTGTGCGCATCTTGGACGTCTCAGGTTTTGATGGCCAGGGCCACGACATGGTGTTTAGGGCCAGGTACTGGGACAAGACAACCAACAGCTTCCACTTCCTGAAACCCGACGAGAGCAACAGCCATGAGGCGGCCCGTGTGCTGATATTCCAGGTCTCCACGAAGGATCCGGATGTGGTCGCCAGGCTAGTCGAGTTGGAGAAGCGACACTCGCCTAGGCTCCTCGACAAATTGAGTCGTTACGACACCAAACACTAACTAGGAATGTGCCTTCATGCGAAGATCTGAGGTTCATCATTTTGATGGTGTCTGAAGGTGTCGAAGGAGGCCCGTGCCTGCAAGCCTTGGCTGAGTGGCACTGCTGCTCGCACGGACTGTTGGCGCAGACACCTGATCAGTGGCTCCCGATCCTCCAGCGGCCCACCTGCCACTTCTTGTGCAGAAATGCAGATGATGCCAAGCCAGTCGAGGCTGCGATCAGGAAGATGTTTGCGGACTGGACCAAAGCCGCCGAAGACAAGCGGAGCCCTGAGATGCATATGCTCAGTCCAAAGAATTTCAAGAAATTCTGGTGTCCCCAGCCTGCATGCGCCAAGCGGGAGTCCACAGCAGCGGATGTTGAGATGCATTTGGGCGACCTGCCAGCGGACTCCAGCGAGCCGCCGAGCAAGCGGCAGAAACTCTTCAGCGAGGCGATGGATAAGGGCTTGCTGCCGCAGGACTACGACAAGGACACGAGAATCCGGGCGAAGCTTTTGACTGACAAAGCCTCTGTCGTGGCTCATACCGTCATGTACAAGTTGCATCATGGGCCAGAATCAACGAAGCTGATGTTTGCCAATGCGGCAATGTGGCCGAAAGCTGATGCAGATCTTACGTCTTTACCAAAGGTACTTGGTGCAAACACGTTGGTGATCTCACGTCCCAGCTGCGATGAGAAGGCCACCGCAAGACATCTGCTGCTGCGGGAGATTATGACAATGAAGGGGTACGACGCCGGATGCCTGAATGCTTCCACTTGCTCAAGACCTGTACAGTTCATGCTGTGCAAGCACTTGCCATATGAGCCAGTGATTAGGTCCTTGCTCACAGAGGCCTGTCGCGGTCCGTGAAATCTGATGCCCGGTTGAAACAGCACCGATTTTGTCTCGGGCCAGTGGTGCTGGAGAGTAGTTATGTTAGGGGGAGACCCGTGCAACATCGCCCAAAGATTGAGTCCGACGTGCTTTAGGACCCATGTTGTGAAGACATGCCCTGCAATGCATTTATCGAGGCCTGCCATCCACTGGAAGTGCCGGTGCGGCGCTTGGAACCCCGCTTGCCAGCAGTTGGCGCTTACATGCCAGCATATCCAAGTTTTCTGAGTTGCAGTTTTCTCGCTGTAGTGCCGTACCAGTATGAAAACTCATTGTCATAGTCAGAGCAAGCGACACTCATATCTATGCAGAAATACAATTGGCAACTGGTTGCGAATTGGCTCTGGTGGGACAACAAGGACTTCAGGAGTATAGCTACAGCTACCAACCCTATTTAGTGCTGATTTCTATGCAAAAATACAATTCGCAACTGGTTGCGAATTGGCTCTGGTGGGACAACAGGGACGTCAGGAGTAGAGCTACAGCTACCAACCCTATTTAAAATATAGTGTTGATTCTGATTTCTATGCAAAAATACAATTCGCAACTGGTTGCGAATTGGCTCTGGTGGGACAACCGGGACTTCAGGCCGCATCGAGTCCTAGTAGGGCTACAGCTACCAACCCTATTTAGTGCTGATTTCTATGCAAAAATACAATTCGCAACTGGTTGCGAATTGGCTCTGGTGGGACAACAGGGACTTCAGGAGTAGAGCTACAGCTACCAACTATTTAGTGCTGATTTCTATGCAAAAATACAATTCGCAACTGGTTATGAATTGGTTCTGGTGGGGCAACAGGGACTTCAGGCCGCATCGAGTAGTAGGGCTACAGCTACCAACCCTATTTAGTGCTGATTTCTATGCAACAATACAATTCGCAACTGGTTGCGAATTGGCTCTGGTGGGACAACAGGGACATTCAGGTTGCATCGAAATTGGTAGGAGCTCCTGCTGCGTGGCTATGTTGTGGACGGGCTGTGTGGCTCCGCTATAGGGTCAGGGCCCGAACGTGCTGTGTGGCTGCACTCAGTCAGGGCACGTATCTGGTAGGACGGTAGTAATGTGCAGAGGTTGCAGGGCACGTATCTGGTAGGACCATACGGAACCCTCAATCGATCATCGTTCTGAAAGACACTCAAATTCAAACTGCTTCCGATGTGATTTCAGTAGGGCGGCAGGACTTCAGAAACCTTTGTAGGGCCCCACTCCCACTCTAACCGTCCTGTAGTTCATGGACACCTTCCGATGGCTTCAGGCTCCGATGGGCTGCAGCGGCTGAGTCTGAGCAGCTCGCGGTCCAGAGCACGTGGGCCCTAAGATATTAAAAGAATACAATAACCGGCTTACACGGACTTCATGCATTTCTGAAAGTGGTTTGTTGTTTGATGCGAGCTGTCACGAGCTTCATGTCGCTACACGTTTCGAGCTGATGCGTCCGTGAAAATTGGCTTGCCTTGTGATCAGCACTGCAATGTGCTGCGATCAGGCCAGGTTGCATTCCGCCACATGTCAGCATTAAGCTGAACATGAGAGGCCCCCGTTAGGCTGCCCTCTAATAAAATTTATATTTCTAAAACCCCTTGAACACCGATGCAGACCAAACCCTAACCCCTAAACCTAAAACCATGAGCTCTAAACCCCAAACCTTAATCCCTACACCTATGCGCGGAGCTTAGGAGCTGTGGTCATTCGTGACGTTCTTGCCGCAGAGTGCCATGGCCGATTTCGACCATTTGACCTCCCAACAAAACCCTACGGGTCCATGTACCCACATAGGGGTTCCTTTTATAGGGTTCCTTTAAGGGTTACTAAAAGGGTTCTATAGGGGTTTAGGGTTTAAGGGTCCTTGTGCCTAAACAGTACATGCATTGGCCCCAATGTACCTACATAGGGACTGCTTTCAGGCCAAAGTATATACTATTCGGTTACACGGACCCTTAGGGTTTACATGGATTTAGGGACCCTTAAAGCCTAAACCCCTATAGAAGCCTTATAGAACCCTTATAGTAATCCTTAAAGGAACCCTTAAAGGAACCCCTATTTGGGCACATGGACCCTTGGGGAAACATACCCCAAAGGCCTCACAATCTAGGGTTTTGCATCGCAAAGACCATACTATATGTCAGGGGTTTCTGGGTTATCTCGAGCCTAGGGCAAACGAATGTAGGGCTTCTATAGATTATATTATATGAGGGTTTCTTTTCGGGTTTGAGGTTTGGGGTTACTGCAGGGCAACTAGAGGTTTCTAGTTCTATTTGTGTTTAGGGTTGTTGCAGGGCATTTGAAGGCGGGTTTCCAGAAGGGTTTGTGTCAGGTCCATTGTCTATTGATGTACATCAGTACCCCTCAGCCCTAAATCCTGCCACTCAGCCCAGACGAGACCCTAAACACTGCAATCACAATCTAAGGTATACGGTATACCCTAAGTTTCCTGGACCCGTGTCGTCAGATCCCAAACCCTCGCCCCCAAAGACGAAACCTTATATACCCCAGAAAGCCCAACATCCTCAGGGAGAAGTAGGGTCGGATATGAACGTAATTGTTATAGTATAATATGTACCCCAAGGCCCCGTTCTCATGTTTAAAGGCCCCTACATTGCTGCAAGATGTAGGGGTTTGGGAGTCGATCGGCCATTCCCTCAGGGTCTATCCACTCATATAGTATATACCTATCGGCCCCATAGTAGTTCCTTTTGGGGATTACCTTATAGGATTCTATATATGAACCCCCCAAAGGAACTACGTTGGGGCCTTTGGGTAGCTTAAAAGGAGTCAAAGTATATACTGTTCGGGTGTATGGACCCTGAAGGAATCTCCAACCCTCCACCGCTCATAGGACCTTTGTAGGTTCCTTTTAGGGAAATCCGGTAAGGAGCATTTTAAGAAACCTAAACCCTTAGATACAGTGAACCCCAGAAAGTTGGAACCTGGATTTGGGATGATCAGCGCTGGGAGTCCCTGCAGCCTGAAAAAAGGAGGGCTTCTCGTAGTAAAAGGGAGAATGCAGGGGCCTTAATAATTGGGAAGTTCTTTACTATAATTATAGTATCATGGACCCCAAAACCCCATTCTGGTTATCTTAACGCCCCTTTAGTACTTTACTTTAAGAGCACAAAGATAGAATGACCTTCCAACTTTGGCATTTCGCCCTCAAACCCATGGCCCCCGTAGTGTGGGA